TGAAAGTCATCCACCCTACACTCTGTAAATTTATGTGTCCTTTATATTCCTGACAATCACAGACAGCAGGAATAATAAGTGAATGCTATCCTTGTTTTTTCTATCTTTTTTAAAACCCATTTACCAAATGAAATCGTCTAACTCAATCGCAAAAACAGTTAAATTTTTAGAACTTTAATTAGTTGCACAAATTTTATGTCCAGGAAAACTTGTGGAAGTTCTGCTTCATGCCATTCAATAACTTTGATAAAGAAACAATGATAAATGTTTCCAGACAGTACTAAATACACACCCTACACTACATGGTTGCCCTTTTAAAATAATTATGTGCTAAAAAGTTGCTATAAATCACTTCTTGGGTATCTTTCAAGTTTAATCAAGTCCTCTGACACATTGCTATTTAAATTAATTTTTCGTTTGTACTATAGCAGGAAACAAACACTTGTATCCAGGCAACAACAATGTATCTTAGATTTGTTTGGTATGATAAAGTCAAGCAGTGGCAGTGCAAAAACTGCACTTCTTTCTCAACCATTGCAGGATGTTACCGTCTTGAAGACGGGCATCAGCTAGAAACCAAACCCAAGGGATTCCACTGTTTGCTCCTGCTGAATGCAGCCACTTCATCTCTATTAAATTCTGTGTTTTGAACTGAGATATACTGGATATTTGTTTTTTGGTGTTTTTGTTTTTGTTTTTTGAGATGGAGTTTTGCTCTTGTTGCCCAGGCTGGAGTACAATGGAGTGCTCTCCACTCACTGAAACCTCCACCTCCTAGATTCAAGCAATTCTCCTGCCTCAGCCTCCTTAGTAGCTGGGATTACAGGCACCTGCCGCCACGCTCAGCTAATTTTTTATATTTTTAGAAGAGACGAGGTTTCACCATACTGGCCAGGTTGGTCTCTGTTAGGGACAAGCTGCCTCAGAAAACCCCCTCTAGCCAAGCTGACCCCTTCCCCCAACTCTGAATCCTCTGCAGCTGCATTTCTGAACTCCTACCTAGGCACCGCATACAAGGCTGCCACATGTGCTACAATTAAGCAAAGCCTGGTTACAACCATCCGGGCAGCTTGGGGGAGGACAGGGAAAACAAATGTTTACTATCCATACTTGTAAATTCCTGTTTGACATATACCTGTAAAATCCTGAGTTGCTTTTTTTTTTTTTTAACTGCCGCCACAAAAGTCACAGGATGATGTATTGTAAGTCCGTCACAAGTTAAAAAACTATCTCTGTGCCTGTTACAAGCTGATAGATTATCTCAGTCCTGAAACTCCCTTATGCCCCTCTCATCCATATGAACCCCTCGTTTTGTAAGCTCAGGGCTGCCTGCTCTGACTGTTACGGGGCAGACCAGGAGGTTAATAAAACGTGCTTGCCTGAATTGGGGTCTTTTCTCCCTTCTCTGCCTGACTTTGGGTCTTTTCTCCTTTGTCTTGGCTAACCTTACAGTCTCGTACTCCTGATCTCAGGTGATCCACCCACCTTTGCCTCTCACAGTGCTGGGATTACAAGCATGAGCCTCCGCGCCCAGTCTACATATTGGATATTTGAAGTAGCTATTGCGTGTTGGCCTTTTCCCACTAATCCACACCTTAACTGCAAGGAGACACATATCAGAATCTAATCTTATAATTGGAAGATAAATAAAACACGTTGATGTTGATGATAATAACTGCAGAAACTAAAGTCAAATCTTCTTGGCCCGTGGAAAAATATTAGAAAATGGAAGCACAAAGTAAGGCTTGAACCTTCTACATTCACTAGGAGGAAGCATGAGTTCAAAAAGTTGAGAAGCACTAATCTAGAGAATGGGTGTGCCATGAACTGCCCCAGTGAGCTTACGGTGATGATGTGAGAGACCAAAAGAACAGAGAGTCAGTGTGCATGGAAGAGAGGAAACAGATAGAGGCTGGAGATTTGGGTGGAGGCAAGATTACCAGGGCATTCTTGGTCATAATAAGGAATTTAGATTTTATTCCAACTAGACAGGAAAGTCATTACAGTGTTAATAGCACACAATTGCAGTGGATTAAAATATGAAAGTGTTAAAATAAATAATAAGAAAGCATTCCCTGTCCAGAGAAATCATTTTTACAAAGTGAAAGATATCTATAACATGACAGAAAAAAATCCAGTTAGAAAGTGGGCAAAGGAGGTGAATATACATTTTCTCAAGAGGAGAAAAATAAATGACCAACATACCTATGTAAATATGTTCAGAATCACTAATCACAAGGGAAATGTAAGACAAAACCACAATGAGATATTATCTCACATTTGGTAGGATGTTTTTCTATTAAAATATTGTGTATATAACAATATTAAGTGTTACCAAGTATATGGAGAAATTAGAACCCCTGTGCACTGTTGATGAGAATGCAAAATGGTGCAGCCCCTATAGAAAACAGTATGAAATTTCCTCAAAACAATTATGATTTGAAATGTAGAAACTATTTTTAAAAACATGATCCAGTAATCCCATTTTTGGGTGCTTATCCAAAAAAAATTTTAATAAGATCACAAAGAGATATTTGCACTTACATGTTCACTGGAATATCATTTGCAATCCAAGATATGGAAACAACCCAAATTTCCAATTTAGGTTTCTGGATGAATAGATAAGGAAAATGTGGCATTTACACAAGATGGAATGTTATTCAGCCTTAAATAAGAAGGAGATCCTGTTATATGTGACAGCATGGATAAACCTTGAAGACATTAAGCAAAATAAGCCAGTCACAGAAGGACAAATACTGTATGTCTCTACTTACACTAGGTATCCAGTGTAATCAAATACAGAGAAACCAAAGAGTAGATTGGTGTTTGTCAGGGGCTGGGGAAGGAGGGAGTAAGGGAAATGTTGGCCAAAAGATAGAGAATTTCAGTTAGGAAGGATAAGTTCAAGAAATCTATTGTACATCATGTGTACTATAATTAATAACAATATATTATATATTTGAAAATTGTTAAAAGAGTAGATTTTAAGTGGTCTCCACCACAAAGCATACATGAGACAATGCATATGTTAACTGGTTTGATTTTGTCATTCCACAGTGTATACAAATTTCAAAACATGTTATATACTATAAATATATATAATTTTTGTTCATTAATTAAATTAATAATTAAAAAATAAAATTAAATTTTTTGAAAAGAAAGATAAACTGCAGACTAGTATCTTTTATGAACACAGATACAAAAAGTTTCAACAAAATATTAGCAAATGGAATCAATGCATAAAAAGAACTACACATCATAACCAGGTGGATTTTATTTCACCTATGAAAGCCTGGTTCAACATTAGAATATCTGTGTTATCCATTACATCAACAGGCTAATGAAAGATAACACTTTTTTATCAACTGATGCAGAAAAAGTATTTTGACAATCCCAAACCTGCTTACGATTAAAACTCTCACTGAACAAGGAATAGCGGGGAACTTCCTCAACGTGATGAGAAACATTTGCAAAAAACCTACAGCTGATTTTATGCTTATGGTGAGAAATTAGATGCCTTATTGCTATGATTAGGAACAAGGCAGGGAGTCTCCTCTCACCCTACTTTTATTCAACATTGTACTGGAATTCCTACTTAATTCAATACGACAATGAAAGCAAATAAAAGGCATATGGACTTGAAGAAATGAAAGAAAGGAATATATAGCTAGGTTGAAGGTAAGAAGGAGCAGAGAAACAGGATTTTCGTGATAAGTTTTGGATTTTGGAAGGGAGCACTTTGAGTGTGCCTATGACCTGGGACAAACAAGTTACAAAAACAAAGATATGTAAGACATGTAAGACAGAGACAATAATCCATAAAGCAAAGCTCCTCAGAATCAGTAGGGAACAGGATTCAAAGTAGAAACAAAGGAAGATAAAGTTAAATAATTCCAGAATTGTCTCAATCATGGACAAACAGGGGCAGTAGAAAGGGAAGAAGTGCGTCAATGGCTCTCCAGAATTCTGGGCTTTTCTACCTTTCAAAAAAAAAAACAAAAAAAGGCCAGGAACGGTGGCTCACGCCTGTAATTCCAGCACTTTGGGAGGCCAAGGTGGGCAGATCACAAGGTCCTGAGATTGAGACCATCCTGGCTAACATGATGAAACCCCATCTCCACTAAAAACAAAAAAAAAATAGCTGGACGTGACGGTGCACACCTGTAGTCCCAGCTAATCGGGAGGCTGGAACAGGAGGATTGCTTGAACCCGGGAGGCAGAGGTTGCAGTGAGCCGAGATCCTGCCATTGCACTCCAGCTTGGGTGACAGAGGGAGACTCCATCTCAAAACAAAAACAAAAACAAAAAAACACACTTTAGGCTACCCATTTTCATTTACTGAAGTAGCTATTCCTTCCCTTTAGCCTCTGATAAAAACAGCAACAACAAACAAACAAGCAAACAAAAATAAAAAATCAAAAAAACCAATTTCTGTTCTCCCTCTCCTCTAACCCCTGGCTCATAGAACTATTGCAGTGTTTCAACCATATGCTGTTTTGAAAATTTTTTTTTCTCCAATTACTAATTTGTCTGGACTTTTCACTTACCTACAATTAATGGGAAGACAATACCCTAAGGAAAGTGAATTATGGCAATTAATAACCACATTGATAATTGCTTCTTACTGAGCACTATTTTGCGGCAAGGCAAACTGTATCTGCTCTGCCGCTTCACCTCACCCTAGCTGAAAATTAGATACTACTGCATATTACACTTCTAGGCAATTTTTAAAGTGCAAAGCATGTTTTGAAACTATTCTTAAGCTGAACTAGCATACAACATGAGGTAAATTTATTAGGTATGGTTATGGAGGAAAGGTAATTTTCATCATATTTTATGCTTTTTAAAATATTACTGGCAAAATATTACCAAGGCTAAAGAAAAATTGGCTCATTGATCATAGTAACTCATTAGAAGCTGGACAGTAGAATCTGTTTCCTGGCAAATGTTTTCTCCTGAAAACTGGAAAGAATCATTTTAGCTGAAGCCAAAGTAAAAAAAAAAACTTCATCATGCCATATTTTAGAATGTCAAGTAAGCAGAACATTAGTTGAACTAAACTTACCATTGTATTAATAGACGCCAGATTAGTTTATCATCACCGTCATCATCATCATCATCATCGAAATTAAATTTAGCTTTAATACACAGCTTGAAGATTAATTTTTCTCTCACACAGTTATGTGCAATTTCAGTATCTTTCTGATGGTTAAATCATCCTTTTTGATCATCCTTCTCATTTAATTGCTAAAATTTGATCTATGGTATAGTAATTTTAAAATATTTAATTATTAAAATATCCAAGATAAACAGGATTTCAAATGTAGAACTACTTTCAAGTAGGCAGTATTTACTACTTAGATTTTTTTAAACTATAACTTCTAACCAGCCATGTAAAACTAAAGATTAAGATACCATATTTCTGTGAATATAGGTTTTTCAAATATTTTGCTTTTTGTTTTAGAATATTTGTTGCTCCCTGAGGAACTGGAAATTAACAATGGCTGGGTCCAGTGCTTGAGTGTCAGAAAGGGAAGGTAGCCTGCAAACAGAAGGCTTGCACCCAGGTAAAAATTGCAGCTCAACAGATGAGCAAACACAAGTATTCAGAGAACCAAGATGGAATAAACCAGGAAGCCAGAGAGACAAGGAATGAAGCCAGGATCAAACCAGAGAAAATCTTCAGTTAATAGAGGAAAGATACCAAATTCAGAGATTTGCAAATCCCAAATTGCAGAACATTTACTGCAACAAGATTACTTACTGGTCCAAAGTGTTTTGTTGCTCCTGGGTCAGGATGTTCTCGAGGCATTTAAAGGGTTGATGTGGCCTGAGAAAACAATAATAATAATGGTAGAGATTAGTATGTTAGTGCTCTGAAAATATTCCGTTATCCTGTCAACAACTTTTACCTACCTTCATTAGGGATATACTACAAAGCCAGAAAATTAGACTTTGTTCAAATAATATTTCTAAGTTTCTCTGAGATTATTAAATAAAAGGAGCCACAAATGAGCTATATTAATTTGATATATTGAGATTATTTTTCAGATACTATCAATACTCTAGGACATAGATAAGAGACAAAAATGAAATTAAATGGGTGCTTTGGGAATTTAAAACAGATTTAGGAATTCATTCACTCCTTTGTTTATTCATCAGACATTTGTTGAGTAATTGTACCATGAGCAGGGCAGAGTGCTAGACATTGCAAATACAGTGGGGGAAATAATCCCTGCCCCCAAGGGATTTATAGTCTAGCAGAAAATATAATGATACAAAAGCAGATGTAGGCTGGGCATGGTGGCTCACACCTGTAATTTCAACACTTTGGAAGGCCAAGGCAAGTAGATCACTTGAAGTAAGGAGTTCAAGACCAGCCTGGCCAACATGGTGAAAACCCATCTCTACTAAAAATACAAAAATTAGCTGGATGTGATGGTGCATACTTATAATCCCAGCTACTCAGAAGGCTGAGGCATGAGAATTGCTTGAACTCAGGAGGTGGAGGTTGCAATGAGCCAAGATCATGCCACTGCACTCCAGCCTGGGTGACAGAGAGAGAAAACCTCCTCAAAAAAAAAAAAAAAAAGAAAAAAGAAAGCAGATGTACATAGTATACAGGTATACATGTCAGAAACCCCTGTCCCCAACACTCCAGAAGTCCATAAGGAAGATGACAGGGTAGGGATCAGTGAAGGTTGTCCAAAGGTTGAAGCCAAACTAATATTTAGATGAAAATATTTCTGGGCAAAAGTAGGAAAGGTTGTGAGAGACAAAAAGAGAAAGATGCCGTTTCAGGCAAAGAGAAACATGTGGGATGAACAAAGACAAGAATCCAGTGCATTTGATGAAACAAAAAAAAAATGCATTCATACATTTATTCAACAAATATTTATTGAACCATTGGATTGCAGGGAATACAGGCATGAAAAAGACAGACAAAGCCTCTGCTCTCTTACTGTTTACATTTTGGTTAGGCAAAATACATTTAAGACAGAGGAAACAGTAAAAACTGCAAAGCCCTGATGTGTTTGAGAAGAAAAGAATGGACCAGAGTGGCTGCAATATACTGGCCATAAAGAACAGTAGCCTGCAATAAAGTGGGCATCTAGGCAGAAATCAAGTCCTATATGGCTTTCTTAGAATAAGAGATTTTTATTTTATTTGCCACCAAAGGGCTTTAGGCAGAGGAAGTATGTAGTCTGATTCACATTTTTTAAAGATCACTCTGATTATTATGTAGAAAATGCATTGTAGAGAGCCGACAAAGGAAGCAAGGAAATCAATCAGAGGCTACTATAGTCAGCCAGGATAGAGAGAATGCTGGCTTTGTCTAGAATATAAGCACTGAAGATGACAAAAATGACTGCATTTTGGATATAGAGTTTTGGAGGTAGAGTTAACAGCACTTGTCCATGAATTCAATAGGCCTGAGGAGATAAGGGGAAAAATAAATCAAGGTTAACACAAGTTCTACGTGGCTGGAATTTAAAGAGAATGATAACACTAGTATGAAAGATGAGGCTGGGGAGAGAAGAACCAGTTTGAGAGAAATATGTATCTCTTATCAGAGTCTAAATGTTAATACCAAGGGCAATGAAAATATCTTGAAAGACTTTAGGCAGGTCTCTTGCTTTGAGCAAATAATGCTCAAAGATCATTGAGTGATTTGAAAAATTAGTAGAAAAATTCTTATCCAAAATAGTCTCAAAAATTATAAGATACTCAGAGAAAATCCTAAAAATACTGAAAACACTTTCATAGAGAAAAATAAAAAGCATTATTAGAGGAGATAAAAGAATAATTAAATGGAGGGATATACCATATTCATGGACAGGAAGACTCAATGTTATAAAGATTTCTGTTCTCAACCAAGTTAAGGTATAAATTCAGTGCTATTCCAGTTAAAATTCCCAAAAGACTTTTTAAATGCAACTTAACATGGTTCTAAATTCATATAAAAGAGAACCCCAATAATAGATAAAATCATTTTGAAGAAAAGAATGTGTAGAAGGACTTGCCCTTCAGCTATCAAGATCTACAAAAAAAGCTGGAGTCATTAAAGTATGTGATAATTGATACATGAGAGAGAAACAGACTTTTTAACCATATAGAGAGCTCATGAACAGAGCAAGCATGAAAGGGAAAAATAGAGTCATAACTTTTTCAAAAAATGCTGTGAGGAAATTACTTATTCAATACATGGCATTGGGACAACTAATTAGTCATATGGAAAAGTAAAATATAATTGGTTCCTAGCTGAAAATATATACCCTTTAATGAAAGGGAAAAGGGAAACAAAATATTCAAAGGCTGCTATATTTTAGGGTTGGTGGCAGGCGGTTGAGGTGCTCTTTTCCTTTTTGGTAGGGTAAGAACACTCAATGATAGTGACAGCAAAAGCGAGATAGAAACATGTTTGAAAAAATGAACAACTTTGTAAGGTGTGAAGAATAGGAGAAAGAGTTGTTCCAGGCAAACATAGAGAAAATTTTGGGCAGTATTAAAATACCATACGAGATAAGAGGCTGAATTTATGGTGGTACTCATCTCAAAGCTATTCAGCTTTCCAACAGCCTTCTGGTATAAACTTAACAGAGACATTTTACATAAGTTACTAATCACAGACTAAGAAATTTAACAATTGGGTTGCAAGGAGTTAAGAATAATGTCAAGAAAGTGATCAAAGTGATTGATATGAAATACAAGCTGGTCAGGAAAGAAAACAGACACAGGAGGAGACAGAAAAATAAATATAAATCAGTTCAAGGGCCTAGGTATCTCTTTATTTATTTAATTTTAATAGAGGCAAGGTCTCACTTTGTCACTGAGGCTGGAGTAAAGTGGAACGATCCTCAGCCTCCGAGTAGCTAGGACTACAGGCATACACCACCACACCTGGCTAATTTTCTTTTTTGTAGAGTTGGGGTATTACTCTGTTGCCCAGGCATATCTAGAACTCCTGGTATCAAATGCTTCCCTTGCCTTGTCCTCCCAAAGTGCTAAGATTACAGGTATAAGTCACCATGCCAGGCATGTCCCTTCATTTTAGCACTGATGCAGTGAAAGACACTAAACGACATAGAATGTCTTAAAGTTTCAATGATAAAGTGTCTGGGTAATGACAAGGCCAAGGGAATGGTCATGAAAGTAAGTGACTGAAGTGGAGTATAGGTAAATAACATGGGCAATGAGGCCCACAAAAACTGGGAATCCAGCATTTAGATCCATCATCATCAGAACTGTTGAAGTCAACCAGGATGAAGATACAATGTGGAATAGAGGGGAAGACAGGAAACCACATGCTTGTCATCTCGAAACCCCTTAATCAGCATTTCCCTTTTCTCCATGATACTTATTGACTTTTGGTAGGAGCAATTAGAACCTATTTCCCAGTTTAAGCCAGGTACCTTGACAGTACTAGAAACTGCTGTAAAGCTGACAGTGGAGAAAAACGTGGAGAAAACCATAAGCAACAAAGAGAAACATTATAAAAACCTAACAGCCTAGGATCATTTACCACAGTGGAAAAAATAGCCCGACATACATCAGAAACCCAGAAGATAATATCAAAAGCACAGTAAGATACCATAATGAAATCCCAACAACCAAAGTTTAGATTCTAGTCCTTGCCTTTCCTTGGGACATTCTCTAGGCTCAGTTTCTGCAACCATCTAATAAAAAGATCAGGCAAGACCACTTATAAATTTATTTATAGCTCAAATAATCTGTAATGTAGTGTCCATAATGTGATCCTGATATATCACATTATAAAAGTAAAATATTTTTATTCAGGAAGAGATTATGTTATATATCATAAAAATATCAAGGTGATAAATTTCAATTATTTGAAAAAATTCCCAAGTGGAATATCTCATCTTCCAACAATAGAGATAAAATTTTTTTAAAACATTGTAATAGAGACCTAAGTGAATTACTGTATTTCAGAATTTCCTTAGTTCATAATATAATGATATCTTGTACGTATACTCTGTTTTATCTGTGTTAATATCTCCCCAAAATTAAACTGTGAGTTCCTTCAAGGAAATCTTACTCAGCAGTTCTCTTTTCTTCTTCAAGGGTGTTCTCACAGCTCTGGGTATATACAAGACACAATATTTTTAATGTTCAAAATGAATAAAGACCACATCTGGAAAGTATTCCCTAAAGTTTCAGAAGAAAAAGAGTATGAGTATACCCACACACAAAGCTGCCTAAGAACGACAGCCCAGAGCCTGTAATTGTCTTATCTACTTCAACAGAAAACAGTTAGGAGACTCCGATATTTCACATCAAAGAGTTGGGCGTGCGGGCAGGAGGGGGGTGTTTTATGTTATGTTAAATGGATTTTTGCACATCAAACAAACATATCCCTTACCATTCCCATTTCTGGCTCATATATCAAGATCTGCAAGTGTTTTAAAGCATATTTTCTCCTGCTCTGCTTTCCAATTAAATTTTTAAAACATGTCAAACACACACCTAGAAATTTACAACTGTGGCAGTGACCTAGAGTTCTGATTATTCTTATTTTCCCCAATGTTTTTCAACGCAGACCACCAACATAAAAAATCATTATAAAAAAGTTAAGAAAAGGACAGTTCATATTTTAAAGAATGCAAAACAAGGTACTAGCTAAGATGACAGCAATTCTTTAGCCCAGGCTTAATGCTTTAGTAAAGAGATAACTCCAGGCTCCCACTCTCTGCAACTAAAGCTGCACCAGTCCTTGGCAAGAATTGACAAATAGCATCAGCAACCTCAAGCTCATGTGCCACATTCCTCATATTAACTTGGCTTATCCTGGCTTGTCTCTCCATAGAGCAC